CCCCAATATATTATCTTATTACTCAGGCAGATCTGTTATTATGGAGAATCGATGCTGCTGAGCAGTGGATTGAGGCCAAAGCACAGAGCTGTCAACTGCAGGGACTGAGAGCTGAAGAGAAAAAAAGATCCAGAAAACACCTGCCTAGCTCTAACCCTAGCCAAGTTTTTGTTAATAATTATAAAGAGCTTGTAGAGCAGAAGAATAGTCAGGCAACACTTTGTGTGTAGAATATTAACTAAAAGTGCATAACAATAGCTGGTGATTTAAAGGAAGTTCTCCTTTACTGCTTGATAAAATGTTTTAAATATGCATTAAAAATGAAGGCTGCTACCTTTATACTTATTGGATGTGTAAATGTTCCTTCAAGCTTAATGCATTTCTATTTTCATAGCTGCATCTTTCTAATGTTCTATGCAGTAAAACTTTTTTTCTTTTTTCTCTCCTTTAATTAGACTTAGACAGACTCTATTGTTATTGCGTACACACATAGTGTATACAAACATAGGACTGTATATGAGTTACAGTTTCCAACATTAAGGTTCTTTTTTTTTTTGAGCTGCTGATAGAGATGTTGATTTATTTTCTGAGGCTGTTTCTGAAATCTACAATGTCTAATTTTCAGCAACATCTAATGGTCAGACTGCAGTGACTTTGACAGCTCTGCGGTGCCGTAGAGGAAAAGATGTCTGCCTCCACAAATGACTTAAATCAATTGTTAAAAACAGAGTTTTGTAATGATTCTGCCACCTGTGGCCAAAGCACAGAACTGCAGCACCCGTCTGCTCATTCTCGTAGAGTGGGCTCATACTTGACAAGGTTTTTTTTGTTGTTGTTTTTCTTTTTACTTTTTACATCTTCCATGGAGTTGCCATTGGTGTCTGAGTAGAGCTGGATTTCGGTAGCTTATGACTATCCACAGAATCCATCTTGAATATAGCTTTTCAATGTTTGCTAAATTGGACCCATTTAAAAAAGACCTGCTTGACATCACATCCACAGAAACACAGCAGGAACGTCTGACAAGGAAATAGTCTGCTGGCCTATACTGTAGATGCATCACTGTTTAACTCCAGAGTTGTCATTTTGCTCATCAAATCGTGTTGTAGCAACTTATCATACAGGGTGGATCTCACTAATGAGCGACATAAGAGCCTGCCAGTAGAGTTCAACTGTTTCTGCAGCCAAAGACTCTTGGACCTTATAGCACTGTTATCATAAAACAGCTAATTGGTTACTTATAGAATATAATAGAATATAATACATGAGTATCAGCATTGGTCGCTCATGATGCGGGGTGCCCACTAGGTTACATTCCTTAAACATCTTAGAATCATAGTCCTATTGATGTTAGATTTAGTCAGTTCAAACTTTCCTTTTTATTGTATATTTTATTGATCTATGAAGAAAGCCTGAATGTATAGTTTCCTTTCCTTTTCACTTACTAAAGCACAGAGGCAGACTACAATAGTTTTTACGAGCCTTTGGAAGCAACCCAGGTGGTGTACAAGTTTGAACAACTTAAACACATTGCCTCTGAGCAATATATTTAAGTCACATTTTTAAATACATATTCAATCCAGCCAACATTTCACTTATTGTGTGATGGCGAGAAATCTGCTTGAAATCAATTCAGTTTATTTATATCACACCAATTCACAACACATCGTCCCAAGGATATTTGAAGAGACAATTCAATCAGATCGAACATTCAGATTGGTTAAAAGTTGCCTACCGAAGGGAGCCCAGTTGATTGCATCTAGTCAATGACTTTGCAGGATTCCCTCCACCTAAAAGAGCATGTGGGGACAGTATTCTCTTACTCTTGAGTCGATGACTCCGCAGAGGTTCCTCACCCCAAAGTTGCCCTTTGCCAAGGTGACTGGGGGTTTAATGAGACAGAAGCAGACACAACACAAAGCATTGATCCATAAGTACTTTCTATATTAGAAAAGGTAATGGAAAACTAGCTCCATTGATGGCTCTGTCTAGGAAGGAATCAGTTAAGCAGATGAGCTATGTGCCAGTTTTTATGTCAGAGGGGGCACCTGCAGTTAGACATGGTAAAAGCTAAGCCCATGGCTATATCTAGGAGAGAACGAGGAGTAAGCAATTAAAACCAGGCCCAACAATATCATCTGTAATTGAAGTTGTTGATGGCTGGAGACCAGCTTATGTATCATTCTATGGAGGTGATACAGCCAAACAGTACCAGGCCAGTTGAAGCCCATATGAGAAGAAAAAGCAGAGAAAATAAAGTTAGCGGTCCACTGCAGAATTGGAAAATTGAAGTACTTAGTTCTTCAAGTAGTATACGCCTATAGCAGCATAACTGTTGAAAATGGAAAGCAAAAGTAACTGCATTGTATCCAAACTAGTAAAGAATCAGCAAGTAGATTTGCCTGGTTTCCTTCCACCCCTTCTGATACATAATCACTTAACTCTCATCGACACAGGTTTAATTTGAATTAATATGCCACTTTTAAGATTTAAAACTTATTGTTCTTTAAAGGATTACTCTAGAGGGTCCACTCATTATATTGTGAGACGTTATGGTTGATGAAGAGTGCCAGAAGTTTTTGCTTTTTTATTATTTTCATATCAAATTTGAACTTTAAAGTGTTTTCATACCAATAAAGAAAAAAACTCAAAGGGAAACCATGAAGAAATGCTATTGGTAAGAAATATTATGCACAATGCAGCATTGTTATGAATGCAGTATTTCAAGGATGCGTGAAAGGGATCAGAAGGCTTTATACCAACCTGAACCAATAAAATCTAGGAAAACAAATCCATAAACATGTGTATTAAAATACACATGCTAGTACCTGGAGGCAGTGACAGTAAAAGGTAAAGAGAGAGTTGTGGGAGGAAGTTTAACATCTATACTTACCTGCTTCCTGTGGATGTAAACATGCAGCATATATCCCCTTTGATGTTTTTTAAGCATTAGCAGAACCTTAAGGATTTTCTTTAACATTTGATGTTTCAAATTGCACACTTTGAACTAGACTAATGCTGTCTGAGTGATTGTGTAAGCCTTTTATTTATTAATTTTTTATTTATTCATTTTTTATAGCTAGAACAGCGTGTCATTTAAAATGCTATAATCGGATTGTGTGTGAATTAGGGCAAATAAACATCCAATAAAAAGACCTCTGGAGCTTTGGGCTTCACCGGCCATCTGTGTCTAATAAATCTGAACAGGTAAACAGCTGTAAGCTGACCTAATACTTTGGAAGTGGTACAAATAATGTGTTTAACATAGACTTTGGTTTCTTTTCTTGTTATTCATTGTATAAACCATAGTTAACTTATAAAGTATATTTTAAACCCACCTTTACAGAAATAATGCCAAGATAAAAATTATCTAACTTTACTTTGGTGATGGTATATCATAAAACTGGGTGGAGCAGAAGGTTTTATCATTTTATCATTTTCATTTTGACAGTGATGTTGCATATCCACTAAAGAAATACCCATAGTTTTGTATCCCAGAATATTTTCAATCTATTATGATTGATAGTACATCGGAGAAATCTGACATTTTCCATGTTTTGATTTTCTAGTCACACTTAATCTAGAATCAAGTAATCAGCTTGTGTTCTGTATAAGGTCTCAAAAACAAATAAAGGAAAAACAAAGCAGAATCAAAGCTTTAGTGAAGCCATTTATAAGACTTAAGGACTCCATTGCAATACATTTACAAAGGAAGAAAACAAGGAAAGATGGTGAATTTACCCTCGACTGGCTAGCCTACCAAAATTATCATAAGGGGACATCATCTACTGATCCAGAGGCTCACAAAAAACAACATCTTAAGCAGTTGTTCAATGTTCTATATAGGAAAGGGACTAGACAAATTAAAATTAAAATTTGAGGCAGTGGTAACCATAAAAGGGTTCCACCAAGACTTCGGGGGAATATCTGGGGGACTGCCAGAAAAGGGAAATGTTTTAAAGGCACAAACCAAACCTTTAAATAAAAATGCATTTATATCTACATTGAAACAGGATAATGGCCCAGGGCTGGTCTGCTGTCTCAGGATATGAAATTGCACCTGATGGTAGCATGAATGCTGTTCTTTTTCATATAATAAAATAAAGGATAGCTCGAATAGCCAAATGATCCAAAGCTCACCGGGCAAGTGCATGATAACAGACTATAAAACAATTCTTTTAGAGGGGTCTAGTCATGGTGTTAAATCCATTGTGATGATGTGGAATGAGGGTCATGCTTCACAGTAGTGTCATGGGGGGATTACCATCTACAACATACACTTGAGAGCAGTAGGTGTCTATAGGCTTGAGTTTGGAAGTAGAAAGAAGAATGTTTTTGTTCTTGACTTTTTTGGAGCAATAAAGATTTTATTGGTCTTAGTGTAATGCATAATTCACAGCACATCAGGAAGTGTTTGCTTTTGAATGGAAACATTATTTGTCTAAAACCATTACTTTATTGTACCTTTTGTTAGCTTGTCAGTCTGCTTTATTGACAAATATGATGTGTTGAACTAGATCTGCTATTTTTACAACTTTTTTGACACACTTTGTATTAAGTAGGGCATTAATTTATAAAACTGTTTATTTGAATTCTATAAATCAAAGTTTTCTGCTCAACATCAATGATGAAATGCACGGCAGCATTTTATACCCAGCTATTGTAGTATCTATGCAAGGGATGTCAGTCTGGTAAAAAAAATCTGATTGTTATTCGAAATTGTAAAGGTTAACTTTTTTTGCAACATGAAACTGACTAAAACTAGGCTAAAACCTTTTTAAGTTTTAGTCAACTAAAACCAACTAAAACTATGACATATTGTAATGACTAAATTGTGACAAAGACTAACAATAGTGTTTGTCCTGAGGACTAAGATTAAATCTAAGACGGCTGTCAAAAACAATACTGGATGGAACCATACTTAAAACCTGTCCTGGAAATCATGCTTTTACTTAAACCCACTAATATAACCTGTTATTTCTGTTTCCTTTCTTTTGCAGAGAATGGCAGGAAGACACCGACGGAATATTGTCCCTCTAAACCTGATGCCACACATCCAACAAGAGCCAGTTGCCATGCTCTGTGTCGGACTCCTGCTTCTCTTGATTGGACGAATAATGTACTTGCAAGGCAGTACAAGCAGCCATGACCACCCTCAGGTTTAGCTTTGGGAAAACCCAGCAGACGTAGCATTTCCTTGATTATGTTATAAACATATATCAATTTTTGACTCTTTTTTTTTATATATATATATTTGGGACGTCAATTACTTGTTCCTTCCCTCTGTACCTTTTTTTTTCTTTCAGGAAGGAACTCTAAAATGTTCATATGTTTGATTTTCCTATATGGCCACAGAGCTTCCCATCATTCTACCAAAGAGTCTAGATTTGCACTCCGTTTTTTGAGCAAAGGTGGTCATTTCATCTGAACATAATGCCTGTGGAAATTCAGACGTGCCTTGTACAGTTTGTTGTTTACTTTATTTCATATGATTTGTTAAGTTTTGTGGGGGGTTGTATATTATTTCATGGAGAAAATGTGCTTTCTGGGCAATCACACTCTGGGCAACACACACTGTTACCCAGGTTGTAAAATACATGGGTCTGAATTTATTTCTTTTCACCTTTGATCCATTTGAAATAGAGCTGCAGTTATAATGTAAAAATACAGCAGATTAATGGACTTTACAAAAGTATGATGTAACACATTGTTTCAAAACTGAATTTAGATTTTACCCTGTCAAAATATGTCATTCTTTGCCAACCATTTATCTTTTGGTAGAAAGATTAATTATATTGTGACAACCCGGTCAACTTTTACTTTAGACATAATGAAATGTGTTTGGCTAGTTGAGCTTGATGGTCTATGGGAGTGATATAATTTGAATAATTTGTACATGAGTATTTAAAAGAAATTCTCTAGTAGTGTTCCAATTGTTTTAACATTACAAATAATTTCTCTTATTTATGGTATTCCTATTAGAATGGTCTTAACAGCAGTTTTGACATGATTTTAGCAACACAATTCTATGCATTACCTAAAGCAAAAAAAATGCAACAAAAATATATATTTTTGTTCAGCATTAAAACAAAGATTTTGCACCTTTTTTACTAAATTCTACTGCTTAGTCATTCACTGGTCAATGCAATACCTGTTACCAAACTGCCCAAAAAGCAGAGTAATGTTAATGAGCATAGTAACAATTGATTTAAGTCAGTCATTAAAAAAGTAAATAGTGTCATTTAGTACTTTGTTGTTTATTAATCTATAAACCTTGCCATTGCTTTTGATTAAGTGATCAAATGTTATGGTCTCCCAGCATCTGGTTTCAACATTAGCAACCAGGGTGAAAGTCACCAGCAACTTTTGGTTTGTTGACAATTTTCCGTTTATTAGCACTGTGATTCAGACTTGGCCAAGTCTGCTCATTCTTGCCAGCTCATTAAACAATCCAAGAGGTTTTTGGATAGCAACCAGCCATGGCAAAATCCGGAAGGGTTTTCTTTTTATTACCGTAGTTACAAATCTAACAAAGTCAACGCAGTCGTGAAGATAAAAAAAAAAAACATATTTCTTGGGCTGTGCACCTTAGAACTTGTCGACTGTCATGAGAAAATGACTTTTAGTTAAGAATTTTTAGTATTTCTGTTAGATTTTCCTTAAGTGGTGGATTAGTCTTTAGTTATTTTCATTTTTATCATTCTTCTTTAAAATATACTCATGGTATTTTTTTCGTTATTATTTCTAAAATGTCATTTTTGAGTTAAACATGGTAACAGAATTAAAAACTACCAACCGCTAAGTTTTATTGCCCTTGATTGTTAATGTGCCTGGGCCACTTAATGGTCACAGTAACAACAGTTTAAAAAAGTTCCCATCATAAAACTTGTTTAGGTTTTAGGTTGTTTAGATAAGATGCCATAGAAACCGACTGGAGTTTTTCAAATAGCCTTTTTAAGGGTACAGTAATGGATGGTAACCCCTTCCCCACCTGTTTCTGAGTAATGTCATGTGGTTTAAAAAAAAAAGAGAGACTCCCTCAAGGGTTCCTTTTACATTTAGGAAAGTATGAAATTGAAAAATGTTTGATATTTTCTAGGTCAGTGTAATATTTGAAAATGATAGTTTGGAAAATTGTCAGATTGTCAGAAAATAACCTGAAGATAGTCTGGCTATAAAAAAAGAGAAAATTAGATGTCTCTCAGTTAAAAGATCTTAATTGACAGGGGTAGGTAATAAAAACAATATATATATATATATATATATATATATATATATATATATATATATATATATATATATATATATATATATATATATATATATATATATATATATATATATCTCTTTAAAAATATTCTTAAGTATCTCCTCAGACAAAATTTGAAATGACAATGTAATCCCAACTTACAGGTGAAAAATAACATCAGTATGTTAACCTAATACATCTAGCACCACAGCCTGACTATGACACATTTTAATAGACTTGTAAATGCATACTCCAAAAATCAAGATACCATTTGATATGAACAGCGGTTAGCATGTTTCGACATTAACTAGAAAAAGAACCTCCTGTCGGATTTATTCTAAATATTGTCCTCACCTTTGTGTATCACACTAATTTCTTTGTTTTGTATCATCTCACAGTAGAGCTTCTTTTCTTACCATGTATATATTCTGATTAGCAATGCACAATGCCTGTCTTCCTTCCTTTTTACCAGTGTTTAGCTGCTTTGCTTCTCCTTCACTGTGACACTGAGAGCGCTGTGACTGCAAGTTGATTTCTGATATTGTGCCATGTGAAACCTACAACCTCATTTTGAAATACTGTGTTACGACCGGCGTGTGAGAGGGGACCATTTTAAAGAGGAAACTGAAAGACAATTTACTGCCTTCTGAAACTGATATGGAAACCTTGTAATGAGCATATTGTTCGCATGTCTTCTGAAGGTGTTTGAGCACAGAAACACTTGTGTGTGCGTGCGTGTGTGTGTTTGTGTGACATTCAGGGTTTTATTGACTTGCATCAAGCACTGCTGGAATGACTGTCAAATTTAGTTGCCCATTTTTGCTTTATTTTGGCTTCAGGATATTTAAAAGCCACAGCCTTTAGCAGATAATCACTTGTTGACATACAGAATAAAACATGTTATTTCTTTAGAAAAGTTAAACAGACAAAATACAGAAAACTTGTGTGACCCAGAGACACTGCAGTGCGCTGTGCTTTTGCTGAAAATGCTGTAAATGCTTTTATTGAACCTTTTATGTATTGGAGTATGTATAGGACTCCAGGTGACCCAGTACAACTGTAGCAACCAGTACTTGTTTATATTGTAAACTTAAATAAAAGTTGAAATGTTGAAATTTCTTTCCTGGAAATAATGCTTTTACAACTTTGTACATTAGAATGAATAAATCATGTTGTTTAATATGATCTTTTTTTAAACTAATAAAAAGTTTTTTAAACTATCCAATTTCACTGTCTTAATAAATTATGTCTCCTTTTAAATCTTCAACCTTCAAGACTATAAAGGTCATTTATGAATGCCCTACACAACAGCTTGTAGTCACATAGGAAGAATATATAGCACTTGGATGTCATGTATAGAAAGGTTTAGTGTGAAAAATATGTTTTAGCCTTAATGATGATATTTTTCTATGGCCTAACCCAATTTAAGTAAGAAAACTTGATTAAAAAGTGAAAAATAAAGTTTTGTGAGGTGCAGATACTTTAAAATGCTTCATCTCGCATAGATGTCCTGATCTGTTGCTGAGTATATAGAATATTGTTTAATAAATTCGTTTTTACTCGTTTTATAACACTAAGTGAAAAACTTAATTGCACTTAAAAGAAGGTGAGTTTTTAAGCAATTTTACCCCTTTGGACTGTGACTTGTTATCAACCTCAATTATGGAATCCGAAGGGGTTTATATTTTTAGAAAAAAATCTTATCTGGTCAATTCCATGTCATTTAGAAACACTTTATTAATACCAAAGGGAATTTAGATTTGAACTTACTTCTAATTAGTCTTTTTAGTAATGATTTTATAAACTGATGTTAAAAAAATGAAGGATCTTTCAATAAAATAGGTCTCTTTATATTGTCCTCCCAGTTTATTTTTCAGTTTAGTTTATTTGGGTGAAATTAGCAGGGTTTCCCCCCTCATTTGTGCAACTGTGTGCATCTGTCTATGAGTGTGTGTGTGTGTCTGTGGAAAGTACTGTGCCTTTTACAACTTTGCACAAACACATGCTTGGATAATTATATATCATCCACACAAATAAAATCATACACATACGTAACTCGCACACACGCGCTTAAGTGGTTCCTGCACAACCACAGTACACCACCACATGCACAATTTACCAATGGCAGATCAGCTGGATGGATTCCTCCACCTGTGGAGATGTTTAACCCTTTATGGTTTCATGATGAAACCAAAATAACCAGAGAACTCAAGTAGCAAAATGTTTAGAATTTCAGTCATTACCTTTCTATACCTGTTTAGAAGTTATACGTTTTTTATAATTGCCCTTGAAACTGAAACTACATTGTTATGGCAAATGCTGATAGTGATAAGATATATAAATCCACTCAAAGGGCCTGGAAGACAAATTATAGGTATTGGATTGGGTGATATTAAAGAACCACAATATTTATCAAAGTGAAGTCTACCAACTTGGTTCTGTCAATTTCTATACACTACAAAAACAATCTAGAAATAAGTAAACATTTCTTAAATTAAGTGTATTTATCCTTATTCTAAGTAGGTAAATAAGATAGTTTGCCAATGGAACGAGTATTTTTACTCTTAAAATAAGATAATTAGAGAATATGCACTTGAAATAAGACAATGCAATTGTGTTTTCTTATTTTAAGTGTAAATTGTCTTGCTCCATTGGCAAAATGTCTCTTTTACGACCTCAATTCAAGAACAAATGCACTTATTTTAAGAAAAAATTATTTATCTAGATTTCGATTAAAATTTACCACACATTTTGTCCCAATGCCTTTTTTACAGAAACAAAGTAAATTCAATCTAGTCATGCATACAGATTTACTATGTTTAAACTAGTTATCGGAAAAAAACCACACTAAGTTCAGTTTATTATTCCAATATGCCAAAAGAGTTTCTAAGCAAAGCACTGGTATGGTATGTAACAGTACTCATGATCATCATTTCTAAATTTGACCCCTCAGGGTCATTTTTCCACCTTGCTGTGAGTATTGGGATGTCTATCCACAACCCCTCCTCCCTACTCCCCAGTAGCTCCACGGTTTACAACTTGTAGCTGAATTGTAAACCTAAAAATGTCATAAAAAAATATTTGTTAGAGTCCAAAAGGACTTAAACAAACAGGAGATGTGTTGAATGATAGCAACAGAGCTCTGCACAAACCTACAGTACAAGGAAATGGTGCTCATGATGCAAGCGAACATTAGCATAGCCAATAAGGAAAACTGACTGCAAACACACCATAGCAGTTTTGCAAATAAAATTAAGATCAGAGGGCTGTTTTATCTAGTATTTGGCAGTTTGGTTTTTTTTTTTTTT